ACACACACACACACACACACACACACACACACACACACAGCCTGACCTGCGACACTCATCGCAGTGACCAAATGTTTGTCGAGCAGCAGGACAAAGTGATGAAGACAGAAGCTTCACAGAAACAAGAAAACCTTCTGCCCTCCTCGTTCCGACAGATTCTCTGTGACTGAACGACGGTTTTCAGGTGAACTGCAGGCAGTGTTTGCACGAACAGAGAGGAGACGACGAAAAATAACCAAAGTGGAATCAAATATTACCAAAACTAACAAAAAGACGTCCAAAAGAGGCAGAAAATGACCAAAAAATATAAAAAAACGATAAAAAATATAACAAAAAAGGCAAAATATGACCAGAAAAAGTTTTTAAAAAGGCAATAAACTACCAAATAAAACCCCAAAGACAAAAGAGGCAGTAAAATATGCCCCAAAAAGACATGAAATTACCCCCAAAATAGAATAAAACAAAAAGAGGCCAAATATCACCAACACAAGTGAAAGAACGACCAAAAAAAGCAATGAAAGCACCACAAAAAGAAAAACACAACAAAGACACAAAATGTGACCGAACAGAGACCACAGTCACCAGAATGGGACAAAAAACGACAAAAACAAGGAAATAAGACCAAAAAAGGACAAATGAGTCCCTAAAAGAGACCAAATATGACCAAAGACAACAACAACGGTGGTCAGTAAACGCAGCGCGATGCGGCGAAGACAGAACCTGTGAAGCTGCTGCAGCTTTAATGCGATAACCAGAACAGTCTGTGTGATGATGTAACGAGGAAATCAAAGGCAGCAGTTTGCAGATTGAATAAACGACGTGACAGACGAGGCCGTTAACGGGATCACAGGGGCAGCGAATCGGATCTTCATTGATCTTTGAGTCTCGCAAGGTTTCGAACTCTGACGTGGACGACAGGCGTCCACCGGCTGCTGCATCACTGCAGACCAGAGCCGTGCACGTAATCGGATTACTTCAACCCTCTGGACCACAAAAAGCCACCAGCAGGTTTAAAAGTCCTGTTGTCTTCAGATAAAACACTAAATAACAGAAAGGATCAGCCGGAAACTGTAAAAACTCAAAGACACAGTCAGGATGATGCGTTCAATGTCAGGATGATGCGAAACTGAAGTTCTTCCCTCCGTGACTGATGCCTCAAATCATCACACTCCTGGATTCACTGGTCCAGTCCTGGTCAGAACTGGTCCTGGTCAGAACTGGTCCTGGTCAGAACCGACTGAGCTGAGACCAACAATCTTTCTACAGCTGATGAGAGGCTGGAACAAATGTGTCATTAACATGAGTTCATCTCAGTGGGAGTTCTATTTTCCACAGAAACAAACAGAAGAATGAAGGTGATCGTCACATAAAAGTCGACCAAAGCAGGTCCTGTCGTGTTTTTGTCAGAACATCAATCACCTGATTCGTCAAAGTGAGTTTTTGTTTTCAGCACATTGTCTGAACGTACCTTCATTTTTTGAAGCATTAAAGTGTTTTATTTTTTTTTGCTTTTTATTGTTTTTTAATTCTGATATATGTTCAGATATATAATAAAAAGCATTTTCCCTTTTGAATAAATGATTTTACATTTCACTTTTAGTGGCGTTTCAACGTTCCAGCTTCTAGAATGTGAATATTTGCTGCAGCTGTCAGACTGAATGTGTTCACACTCATTCAGAGAAGCTGTTTCTACTACTTCCTGACAATTTAAAGCAGAGAGGATTCAGTGATGTACCGTTTACAGCCAGCCTCCTGTGGCGACGCAGTCAAACTGTTTCAGGGTTAAACTGAACTCTGAAACTCACCGAGGCTTTGCGGAGTCGATCCGTCTTGCCAAAGAAGTAGGCATCTTCGAAGGATGAGGTGCTTCCTCGCAGCTTCTCCGAAAGGTTCCTGTAGAGGCGCTTGGCGGCGCTCGGAGACGCCGGACCTCCAGGAACCTTCCTGCTCTGAGACAACTGCAGGTTCTGCATCTGCTGGGTCAGGACCGTCGGGAGACGTCTGCTGCAGGACGAAGGAGGGAAAGTTAGAGACCAGACAGACGAGAAGAACCGAGGCTGTGGTTAGAACATGTGGAGCTTCATGAAGGACAAAGAATCTGACAGTTTATATTCATCAGAACTGATCCAGACACATTTAGAGGGAAACAGCTGCTTTCTGATTGGTTGACTGATCATTTTAAAGATGTTTCTGTGAAACTTTAAGCTTCACTTCAAGTCTGATACCAGCAGAATATAAA